TCCACTAATTCCCTCATTTTTGACCACTGTACAATGTAAATTTGTGAAGCTGAACACACTTTCTTGCATTGAGGACCGATAAGAACATTGTTAGCCATGAAAACTGCAGCAGACCGACAATTTTATTTCCATTTTTAAAAATTCGACAAAGAATCCTGATTTGTCGACGATTTCTCCCCATTTTGGACCACTGTGCGACCAAAATTTTTGAAACTGAACACAGTTCAATGTTTGAGGGCTCAATAAGAACATTTACAGCCGAAACCTATCGAAAGTGTAACTTTTTCGTCCATTTTTCCCATCTTTTTGATGTAGAATTGCTGTCCAGAATGATGGCGATTTGGCAACTTTGCCCCCTCATTTCTCAAAAACGGTTCGTATACTCAAGCTAAAATTTTAACCAGAGTTTTAGGGTATCATAAGGTATCGTTTGGGCCCAGTTTCAGAAAATTCCCCGCTGGCCCAAATTGTGCCAAAAAACGGTCGTTTTGGCGTCGCTCTTTGCGTTTTGAAAAAAAATTTTACAGGTCAAATTGGGGCGCAATGATGAAAGAGAAAGCAGGAAGGAGGGTAACAGAGGGTTTAAATTCCCTCAAAGATTGTTCGCAGATTTCGGCTCAGTAATTGTTTTCAAAATTAGTTCATGCTGAAAACAAGTCACAGATGTGTCTTAGCCTCTTCTCATCATTTTTTATACTGTTTCTTATTCGTATTTGTATATTTTTTTTTTTTTTTTTACAGCGCCCATCTACTGAAGAAGAGTGGAGTCACATTGCAGAGGAATTTTATAAACGATGGGGCTTCCCTAATTGTCTAGGGGCGCTTGATGGGAAGCACGTCGCTTTTCGCCCATTACGTTCGGAAGGTTCTCGATTCTTTAATTACAAGGCTTTCAACAGCGTGGTTCTCTTAGCTCTTGTTGACGCTAACAAAAAATTCATTTACGTTGATGTTGGTGCTCTTGGACGAATCAGCGACGGTGGAGTTTTTTCAAGATGTCGATTGAGTCAAGCGTTGAGGGAAGACGCATGGAATTTTCCCCCGTCCCAACCTCTTCCTGGCCGTCGTATCAATGTGCCATTTGTTGTGATTGCGGATTCCGCTTTTCCTTTGCTACGCCGACTAATGAAGCCTTATAAATTTAACGCCACAACTTTGATTCAGCAAATTTTTAACAAACGCCTTAGTTCTGCTCGAACTGTAGTTGAAAATGCTTTCGGGCTAATGGCTAATCGGTTCAGAGTATTCTTATCCCCAATACAAGTGCATGACCCCAAATTTGTGGAACTTGTAATATTCAGCAATGTAATACTGCATAACATGCTGCTCGAGCGATCACCAAATACTTATGAACTGATGGCCAACGAGGAACCAGCAACCCTTCCAGACTTTGAAGGCGAGCCTGGTCCCGTCAATGAGGCTGGGCTTCATGTGCGGCGAGAATTTGTGCATTGGTGCTATGAGAACAGGCAGGGCCGATAATGATTTTTTACTCTGTCTCCAAGTGAATTTGCATTCAGTGCTAAGCAGTCAAAGCACAATTGGCCCTGCATGAGTGGCCGTAGATTAAAACAATAATTTTTTTTAAAAATTTTCTCTGTGTTTCTGACCTCTAAAAACACCGAAGAAAGTAGTTGCTTGCACTCTTCTCTTTAAGTTCTTCTGAAAGTACTAACTGTTCGGTGTTTTATTTGTTATTTGACTGCGCAAAACATTCTTCATGCTGATTATTTTTTTCCATTTTCTCTCGATGTTTGAAAAATCTAATTTTCTCATTGCTCGTGACCTCTAAAAATAGGCTAAAAAATTCCTTTTTTTAAAATTTTTGTAGATGTTGTTGCTGCCATTGCCTTTTTTGGAAGTACATTTCTAATTTTTTATTTATTTGTCCCTACAAGTTTTTGTACAAAATTTTGATTTTACTCAATAATAGTGGGTAGTTACACTATTTCAAGTCAAACCTAAATGGAAGGACTTCGTGTTAATAAAATTCAGTTATTCATTTTTTATTTCATTTTTGTGCTTTAGTATATATTTGTTTTCGAATTTTAAAGACATTAATTTATTATTTTACATAATGTGGGTGATGTTTATTTTTGTTAATTAATTAGTTAATTTTTTGTACTAGGTAGGTTCTTGTTTGATAAAATTATTTTTATGCTAAATTTTTAGCTACCCAAGTCGCATAAAGTATACTTTATGCTGCTTTTTTTTACCTCAGTTTTGTGTTTGATAAAATGTATTGGGTATACGTGTTTATTTCATTAGATTTTTTAAAACTAAGGTCGACTATAAGTAAGTAGGCTATAGAATTATTTCAGTATTCCTTTGTTGTTCTTTGTAAAGTGTCCTTTTTATCATTTGTTTCTGATGTAGCCATTAATTTGAGACCCTCATAAAATGGAAACTTATTTGGGTTTAACATAATTGTAATGATGAACCTGATTCTACTAAAATAAATAAAAAGCGGTCAGCGATGAAAATACCAACAAGTAAATAAGGGGCAGCGTTTATTGAACTAAGATTCTTCTCCCGCATTGTTCACTTGATAATTTTTGGTTGTAAAGATTGTTTTTTAGGTATTTTTCAGTAAGTTTGTACATAAATGTTACGAAATACAACTATCTGCTGAATTTTTTTCTCCTTTTTTGTATGATGGAACTGATGGTACGGTGGAATAAGACTAAAAATTAATAGCTAACTGACCGAAAGTAATGTTAAAATAATCTAAGACATATTTTTCCTCCTAAAAAATGTAAAAATTTACAAACTTTTAAATGACTTCCCGTTCATAAATTACCTTTCTGCTTCTGGGAAAGATAATCAGTATGGTGGTTCAAATTCATAAGATTTTTTGTTAGTTTCTTATGTTTTTGGAAAGCTGCATTCTCGAAACATGAAATTAGTGTCGTGCAAGTATCAGAATTTTTTTTCAGGCTAGAAGAGGGAAGGTTTTCTGATTCTTCCAGAATTTTTGAAGTATTTTTAGACCTGGCGACCAACACAATATCAGAAATCCTTTTTCAGCCTACGAGAAATTTTGAGTGCCGAAAGTAATTTCCAGGTTTAAAGAATGCAGCGTTTCAGAAACATCAAGCAATGACTAAAATTTTCTCAAATTCGAACCACCCTAATTATCAGGTATGTGGACGGTAGATTCATTTTAAAACATACGTAATGACATAAGGTTTTTTGATAGGTTTGTCAAATCGTTGCACCTATTACCGCCAGGAATTTTCCCGCCAGGGAATCCTGATAAAACGACCAACGCAGTAATTCAATTAATTGAGCCAATTCAGAATTATCAATTTCAGTTATGAGTCAAAATTTTTACTGCGTAGAAACAAACAAACGTGACAAAAGCGTGATAAAGTATTCAGCATTTTAAGGAAAATGTGTGATGCATGGGTTTAAATAATAATAATGAAACAAAATGTAGAAAATTAGAAAAGAGTACATTTATACATTAGAAAAATACAAAACATAAGACTAAAGAGCATAAAACATAAGAATGACAACAAGTGAAGAAAACAATGGAGTAAAACTTATAAAAGTACAGATAGCTGCTCCTTCAATTCACCATCACTTGTAAAATTTTAAATGTGGATAAGTTATAGTCCAGCTATTGAGTTGCAAGCACCAAGTTAAGGAAAACGTGTGATGCGTGTGTTTAAATAATAATAATAATAATTAAACAAAATGTACAAAAGTAGAAAAAAGTACATTTTTACATTAAATAAGTACAAAATGTAAGGATGACAACAAGTGAATCACAAATTGCAGAAAGGGCACTATTGCAGAAATGTTAACTGTTCAGAAAATGCAAAAAACTGATTTGAGTAAACTATAAGCTTTTGGAAAAAAAATTTTCGAGGTTTTCTTTTGTCCCCCAAGTAGACTGACAATTTCCATAAAAAAATTTTACATGATACTCTTTCTGGGTTGTAAATAATGACACTTGAAGGAAGAGCATTAGTGCCCTTTCTGTAATACATGGGGGAAGGAGCCATAAAGAGTGATAGAATGAAGCCAGAAAATTATTTTAGTCCTTGTTTTTCATCTCAAATGTATGGCAATGATGCATGTTGTATATCTCCATTGCAACGTTTCAAAATTTCTGCTCTCTTTTTATACTATTTTTTTTAAAGAGAACTAAAAGAGATTTTCCCATGAAATTTTCAGAAAATAATCTTGATGGTTTGAAGAAAATTTACACAAAATTTCAATAGAGAATACTTAAGAACAAAAAAAAAGAAGACGAAATAAAATTGGCAATGTCGCAATTGATGGTATGCGATTTCGAACTTTCACCATGTGGTTTGCCCACAGCTATGTAAATTTTAAAAATATTTCTGGCTTATTTCAAGTCAAGAAATTTAAAAAAAAAGAAGAAGAAAAAAAAATGTATCCCTTGAAGTTCAATAGCGTAGTAATCTTCTACCTACTTCCTCATCCAACCTGTTAAGGGCTCCTCTCACTTCCTACACTCAAGGTTCAATTCTCATTCCTTTCATTTTCAGCGTGAGTGAAGCGTGTAGCGTGATCACTGTCGTTTCGAAACGCAAAACTAACCTCTCAATCGTATCAAAACAAAACAAACGACGAGTTGCCGCTGCCGATGCGCGCGCACCCAGTGGACATGTACTGCAGAAACGGCACTATATGCTGCAACAGTGCCCTTTCTGCTCTACGTGAAGAACTTAACCCCTGTCAAAAACACATAAAAAATGCGAATATAGTGCCCTGTCTGCACTACTAGATGTGTCTACATACACTAATGCGAAAACCGCAAAAAACTCAATTTCGAAAAAAATGTCGATTGTGCCCTTTCTGTAATAGCTGATTCAAGTGAAAAAATTACGGAGTACGACTTATTAGTGCACAATTTCATATGCATTTGATGGCAGAGATAAAGGAGCCTGACATCACAACGTGCTCTAGTCGAGTAGCCTGCAGTAAATTTAAATAGAATATTTAATGAGTTGGTGACACATAAAAAGTACAGATAGCTGCTCCTTTAAAATTTTAAATTTAGATAAATTATACCCCAGCTATTGAGTCGCAAGCACCGACGTTATGATAAATTGTGCATTGATATGTCTGTATGACAGCAACTTGCTACACAGTATTTGAGATAAACGTACAGAAAGTTGGAAATAAAAGTATTATTATGTAAGTATTACACCTAAAGGGGGCTTTTTTTTGGCAAAAAAAAATCATTAAGAATAAGAGAATTCAAACTCCCAAGAAGCATTGATTGCAATTTCATTGCAATAAAATCACTATTTTTGGACAGCATTAGGATCCTTTTCCACAATTTTGGGTGATTTCATCGCAGAATTATTACAATTTTATTATATGTACCGCCTCTTGCCTATATTTCCTGTTTGAAAGCGGAGATCGCGATATTATTGCAATGATATCGCGATTTTTCTGCACTTCAAATAGGAGATTGGCAACAGGTAGTACAGAAGATAAAATTGCAATAATTCTGTGATAAAATCGCCCAAAATCTGGGAAAATTTTTCAAACGTTGGCCAAAAATTGTGATTTTATCGCAGAAAAATCACAACACTTTCGCAACTTCACAGCAAATTTTTCATTACAAAATGCTATTTGGGGTATGGAGGATGTAAGAGTGATAGAGACATCAAATATAATCCTGTACCAGAAATACAAAATTATCTTGTCAAAGAACGGACAGTAATTTCAAAAAGTTTTCGAACGTAAAAACATTCTCAAATCATAATACATCTGTGCGTACAAAAGATGAGGGAGTGAAGTTAATTTTGGTTCTTTTTCTCTTACAGACTAAAACATTTAAAAAAAGAAAAATGTAAGTATAAAGACAATAGAATTAGAGAACATGAAAACTTATCAGAAATGTAAGCAGAGAAATATTATTTTTCTGCAAGAATGCTGAGAACGAAAATAAAATATTTCAAAAGTAGGAAAATCTAAATTTGTCTGAATGCCTCTGACATGGAAAATTAAAAAGGTGAGAGCGTAGTATTATTTTGTATTGAGATACTTAAAACGAGAAAAATTAGAGAATAAAGCATGGTAAAGAAGAAAAAACGATGAATATGATCATAAATTTACTCGCTGCAACAGGAGGTAGTGAAAAATTATTTTGGCATTTGAATTAATGCCTCCATGATTATATCTTCTGCCTGAGAGGCTTTCTCAGGACCCATTGATCGAAGTTTAGAAGCAATATATGCACCAAAACGCTGATAGACATCCGCCGGTTCGTCAGTTTCTTTCATTGGAGGCTTTTCTGATTGCTTACTTGCGATGGTCTGAAAAGCAGAACCTGCCTGTTGAAGAACTTGAACAAATTGAGAATCAGTTGTTGCACTTTTCCTTCTTTTGATCGGTGGACCTGGTAACTTATTTTCCGAACCGACTCCATCATCAAGTGCCCGTAAGTAAATGCAAACAATAAATAGTAACATTGAAAAGGAAACGGAGAAATAATATGCATATATGATTTAAAGGTAAAGGTATTTTCATACATGGTCTAGTTCAGCAACTTATTGATTGTTACACTGTAAGCAGAGCAGCTGATTCAGAGAACTCACACCGTAAAAAACTATGGTGGCATCAGAAATTCGTAAAACCCCATATTAAGCGAGAAAAAAGCACTTAAAATAATGTTCACCTTTGGTCTCTTGCACCAAGTCAGGCGTGTCCGCGTGTATGCAAATGACCATAAGAAAAATTTCAGCCCATTCTGGCATATCACGGTGAAAAACATGAGATTATTAAACAATAAATAACCCAATACTTAGTTGGGTGTTGCTAGGAACAAACCTCTTCTTCCCGCAGAATTGCTTCAAATATATCATCCTCCCCTGCATTATCTACAGTTCGGCGAGCTTCCAAAAAATCTTTGAGGAAGAGCATCTCCTCGTAAAATTTCATCGTAGGTTTGTAAACTTTAGCTGCTTCTGTATCGGTACCCTTTGATTCCCTTATCTTTTTCTGTTCCTGGGCAAATTGGGTTCTCAGAGAGTGCCATTTATTTTGGCTTTCAGTAACTGGAAGAAAAAGAAAAGCGTATTCAAGTTAAATTATGAAATGAAATTAGCAAATACCTCAACTAAAACCAGTGTTCATTCGGATTGTTCTGATTGTGCCAGAGAAATAGCCATTGGCGTCTAAGAAACGAAATGGCAGTCAAAAATGGGGTGTAAGAAAATGATCGTCAGATTTTGATTTTCCCTTTCTCTGATCTCATTTGCATTAAGAAGCATAAATCGAAAATCATGTTTTCTTTCAGTAAAATAATACTTCTCTTAAAGTTGGACAGCGTTAAGCAAAGAGAAAACAAATGACTTGGTTCTCTTTGCTCATAGAGATTTTAAAAATCAAAATTATTATGGCCAAATCAATTTAATGATCTTCAAATGCGTTAAAAAAGAAGGACGCGTGAGGATGCTTGGGTATCAGAGAAAGCTCAAAATAAAATTATGGTGATTTAACCTAATACTGTGCATTTCATAAGCTTAATCAGCAAATAGAACCAAGAAACTTGGTTTCTTTCTGCTAATAGCTGACCAGTTCATATTTTCCTATTGTATAATGACAAGTTTCATTTCTTCTTACTTTAAAGGAATCGAATAATTCAGCGTTGATATTATCTGCCGGCTAAATTCTTTTTGCTGAATGATAAAAGGAAATTTTCGACTGTTTTGTAAAGTCTATTATAAATTCAGCGTCTACGAAACGTACAAATATACATACTGCGCCCGTAGTGCAACTGTACTGTGGACGCAAGCCTAGGATGCACTGCTTTTCAGAAATTTGATGAGGAGAAAATATAAGTGCAATTGCGCGCTAGCAATATCCATGAAATAAATACTGAACCTACACATTATCCATTACATCATTAGTGGCAGCGGTTTAAGTCAGCCACTTGTACATTTATAATTAGGCATTGAAGATTCTTAAACGGCAACCCTATCGGCATCTCGTAGATTGGTAGGAAAGAAATTGACCGACAAGTTCCCCACATAAGTTGCAAGACCGTCAGTACATTTCAACAGCCAATCGCAGGCGAGTGGTTGGTAAACAAGAGTCTACCCTTCCGACAGGAAAATTTTTCGGTAGTACGGCTGGTTTAATAAGTAGGCACCCCTTGCCTGTGATTGGCGCTTGAAATCTAGTGGAGGACTCTTGATTTCTGTATTAGGATTTTGAGCAGTGAATAAAAGAAAAGGCTCAAAGATTGACGTGATTCCATTCTAATGATCATCTGATGAAATTTAAATGAAATTAAAAACCATATCACTCACCAGTTGTGCCTGTTCTAAAAAGAGACACTTGTGCAGCAACTTGCTCCCAACTTTTAAAGCGTTTCACCCGATTCTGATACCCATCATCTTTGGGGTTGAAGATAGAAGGGTGCTCCCTCACAGCCATGATGAGCTCAAGCAATTGCTCAGGACTCCACTTATTATCTACTTTCTTGGGTTTAGAAGCTGCAGATGAATTTGAAGGTGAAGTTTCTTTGGGTTTACTGGATACGCAGGGAGGTGAAGGTGCTTTCTGACTGCTATATGCGCTTGAAGGAGGTGACGGAGCTTTTTGCTTTTGACTGGTGGATGCGCAGGTACTCGTAGGAGGTGAAGGTGCTTTTGGATTAGTATTTGAAGGTTGTATAGGCAATCGCACATGATTAATGGCACTTTTATTTATTATTACTGGGACGGTTTTACCTTGCGCCGTCTGGAAGACTATGGAGGGTTTGTTAGACCCATCGGCAGATTTTATTAACTGCACTTTACAAACCTTATTCATATTTATAAAGAAACTTTATAGTCCACACTTTTTACAAGAAACTATTTTGTACAAAGTTCTGTACAAATTTTACACTATTTATACAGTCATATAATACAAAAAAATTATGTACTTTATCACAACTCACATAGCTTCAAAACATGATAGAAAATGATGGATGCCCAGCCCCGACACATCGATGATCGCGAAATTTGCGCGGCCCGCGCAATTTTCACGTTCAACACTCACCGATGCACTGATGACTTCCATTTTCGCCTCCCATTTGCTACGTGGGCAGACGGCATAGTATGTAAAAATTAGCCTTTTTACCCGCTGTTTAATTTTTTATTATTGTATATTGGGATGGTCCGAAATAATTGAGGAAAAAAGAATGAAGAATCGAAGATAATTCGGTGTTAAACGGTAAATATGAATCGGGGTATGATAAGATTGTTCATTTTGAATTAGAATCGACCGGTAATGCTAGGAGTTCATTGTGATACATTGGAGTAGCTCTGAACAAACAAGGTGGATATAGAGGATGGATACAAATATAAATTGCGAAACATACAAAGAAATCTGCAACTCTTAAAGAATTGATGAAGATAACAGTGATGATGTGCGGGGTCAATAGGAATAAATCGGAACTATCCGAAATACATTTGAGTGAAACTGGATATTGTAAGGGTTGATAGGGACAACGCGATGAACAGAGGTATGCACTGTGATGAATCGGTGCGAATTGAGAATATCAGTGATCATCATTATAAGTTTACTCTATAGTATAAAGCTGCTGTGACCACTCACTCTGCCCCCCCCCCTTAAAAAAATGGCCGAAGAGATTTCCTAAAAAATGTGTACACGCTTAGCTATTGTAATGAGGAGTTGATCAAAATTATTCCCTTTCCAATCAGCTGTCTAGGACGCCCGCAAAGAAGCGAAAAGTTGAAAAGAAGGAGAAGAAGGAAGAGCGAAAAGTTGTTTCTACGTATAGTAATGGATTGGAGATACGAGGTTGTTCACGCGCACCGCGCCGGCGCAGAACAGGTTCAATCCTGTCGCGTGACGTCACAGCATTGTAAACGAGAGAGGGTTGTTCAAAATCGGCGCTTTTGCCCTACTCTTGGATTTTGCCCGGAGTTGGATGTTTTTCCGTATCACAAGACACGCCTTTTTCCGGCATTGGCAAGTTCACCCGAAATTTTTCCCGCGCGCTACAGCGTTGCTAAGTTGAAAACAGGCAAATTCCGTAAGTGGCATTAAATTTGAGCTATGAAGTTGCGGTTTTAACGAAAATTCTCTGAAAATTGCGCACTCTAAGGAAATGACCATGTTTTTAATGTCGCATTAATTTAATGCATTATTACCAATTTTTCGACTTTTCAATTCGACAAATTTTACAAGTCCGCTAATACCCAAAAAAGCTATCTTTTGATTTGAATGAAAAGTTGTCGAATCGGTAGTTCGTTTAATTACGTATCCATCGATATATTGTAGCTCGCAAGGGAATTTTTGGTTCGCGAGATATCGTAATTTTTGTAAACATCTTTATGGAGCGACAACGCTTTCTGAGTCCAAGCAGATAGAAATTTTAGCTTCCAAAAACACCGGGTAGTATTAATTCCATGATTTCCTACGTGATAAAAAAAGCAAAGATGATGGCCCTGGCCTGAAATGCTATCTCGGCTCCTCTTCAATCAATTTACGTGAAGCTCGGCATGAGAGGGCACTTTTCGACGGGAAACTTGAAGTTTTGGTCCGATTTCAAACATTTTAAAATCCACGATGGTAGCTGTGGCCTAATATGATATCTTGGCTTCACTCCGATCGATTTTCGTGAAATTCGGTATGAGGGGTTGTTTTGCAACGGGTCAATTTTTGGTCGGATTTTCAACATTTCAAAATCCAATATGGCGGCCGCGCTATATAATGCGGTCCCGGCTCCTGGAACATAAATTTCTATACAACTTGGTGAAAAAACAAGATGAAGACGAAGATGTTGTCTTCTCATCGATTTTCTAGTTTTTTTTTTTTTTTTTTTTTTTTTTTTTTTTTTTTTTTTTTTTTTTTTTTTTTTNNACGACGGACTTCTGCATTGAATGAAGCAGGTAACTGTTTATTCCGAGGTCTCGAAGATGTTGAACTAAACTTTTTGGAACTATCCCCGTTACTGACATTATCAGGGGCTTGATACAAACAATATTCAGGTTCCATAATCGCTTCATTTCTGCAGCTAAGGGCAGATATTTTACCATCTTTTCCTGATACTTCAGCTCCAAGTTATGATTATTAGGGATGCTAATATCAATGATGTAAGCGGTGCGATCTCGCTTATCAACAAGCACTATGTCCGGTCTGTTTGCCATGATGGTTTTATCGGTTAGGATCGGGTTATCCCAATAGAGCCGGAAGCGCTGATTCTCCAGGACCGTGGCTGGGCAATATTTGTAGTAGGGTTCAGCAGTATCACATAGTTCTCGATCGTTGGCCAGCGCTAGATGTATAATTTTAGCCATGTTGTTATGCCGCTCGGTATATTCCTTCCCTGCAAGCAATGCGCAACCAGATGTAATGTGATCTATTGTCTCGGATGCAGCATTACACTTCCTACACTTATCGCTCTCGATCTTCTCCTTCAGTATATATCTCTTGTAATTCCTGGTACTGATCACTTGGTCTTGTATTGCGAGAACAAATCCTTCCGTTTCTGGATACAGCTGCCCTTTCGATAACCACAAGAAAGACTTTCCTTCACTAACATGATCCTGCGCAACTGAATGATAAAAGCGTCCATGCAGCGGCTTGGAGGCCCATGCCTCCAACTGGCCAGCAACTGGGTCTGAGGGTTGTTCTTCATTCAGATCGTGACAAGCGAGGCGCAAAGGCGTGTAGGATTTATCTATGGCATTTACTGCAGCGTGCAAAGTGCTGTCGTTTCTACTGAGGAAGTAATTTCGCAGGTTACGGACTTGGCTGTGGCAGACCTCCTTCACATCAAGGATACCTCTTCCCCCCTGTTTGCGGGGGATGTGTATTCTCTCCTTCGCGGCTCTTGGGTGATGCTTATTCCACTTGGTCATCAAGGTTCTGACTTTCCTATTAAGCCCCTCAAGCTCCGTGTCAGACCATGGGACAACGCCAAATGAGTACGCTAACGCAGGAATGGCGAAGGTGTTGATTGCCTTGGTCGTATGTTTTGAGTTTAGAGAGGTCTTAAGTATCGCACTCAGCCGATCAACGAAGGTGTTAACCAGGTGCTCTTTGACTCTCACCTTCTGGATGGAAGAGCTCTGCCACATTCCAAGGTATTTATAAGCATCCTCCATTGTCAAGCTATTGATGACGTCACCAGAATTGGTCACAAAACCATCCTCCCGCACTATAACGCCGTTTTCTATATGGAGCGTCGCGCATTTAGGTACTCCAAGCATCATGCCAATATCATCACTGACCTCTTCAATCACCTTGAAAAGTTGATGCAACTGGTCTCTTTGGGATGCATAGATCTTAATATCATCCAAGTAGGCTAGGTGGTTGATGACGTGGAGTACTTGTCTGTTCCGACGCAGAGGGAACCCTACCTTCATCTCTCGAATGCAATTTGAGAGGGGATTGAGGCCTAAACAGAACCACAATGCACTAAGACTGTCACCTTGAAAAATACCTCGCAGGATGTGGATGACCTCAGTTTCTAATTCACTCGCCGATCCTTGTATTATGATTCTGGTGCGCCAAGATGCCAAAATGCTCTTCAGGAAATGAACAATGACAGGATGGACTCGGTAGATATTTAAAACGTGAATTAGCCAGCTGTGCGGCATTGAATCAAAAGCTTTTTTGTAGTCGATGTAACCCACATGTAAGTTACGACGTTCCTTTACAGCCTGCTTGAGCACAACCGAATCAATTATTAACAGCTCTTTGCACCCGAAGCTTCCCTTGCGACACCCTTTCTGCTCTTCACACAAAATTTTCCACTTAGCTACATGTCTCCCAATTAATCGGGTTACAATGGATGTGATGACTTTATAGAGCGTGGAGAGACATGTAATCGGTCTATACTCAGATGGGTCCTTCGAATCGCCTCCTTTATGTTTCGCAAACGTCACTCCTTCAGTCAGAAATATCGGCATTTTGTCAGGATGAGTAATAATATCTTGAATGCTTCTTGAAAGCTGCGTATGCACACATGTTAACTTTTTCAGCCAGAAATTGTGAACTTTGTCTGGTCCGGGAGCCTTCCAGTTATGAATATGCAAAGTTGCTCTCCGCACATCTTCCTTAGTGATTTCAACCTCACCTTCATGTGTAATGTGGGCATGACGCACTGTTTCCTGCTCAATCCAAGGAGCTGTGCTATTATGCTCCTTGGCCTCTGACCAGATGGATCGCCAAAATCGCGTTACGTCATCTTTCGATGGGATTTCTTCGGGAGCGTTTCTCACATCCGCGGCGTTTCCCATCCTTCGATAGAAGGCTCTCTCATTACGCTGAAACAGAGCATTATCTAAATGGCGCTGGTATGATTTTTTATATCTTCTGAGTCGGGCAGCTTGAACTTTTAACTTCTGCTTCAGTATTTTCTGCTTTCTGTATTTCATCTTCAGGTTGTCATAAAGCTTCTTTTGCCAGATTCCTTACTAGTTAAATCAAAACCCACCATCAAGACTTATCATAGACTCCTCATCTGGCGGTCAAAGAAGCATGTCTCTTAAAATCTAGAAGCACCGTAATTTCTGTCTATTGAAGTAATGGCGGGTTTTCCTGTCGATAGAAATTGAGACCATAATCAAAACTTTCTTTGATTTTTTATAACTCCTGTCTGCCGCTGAATAATTTATTAAGCACACACATAAAATATTAGATTAGCCTGAAGTGTGGAAATAAGTAGCATTTATGCTACTTATTATTATTATTATTATTATTATAATTACTCTATATAAAGCTGCTGTTCCCACTCACTATGCCCCCCCCCCTAGAGAAAAATTGGCCAAAGCGATTTCCTTTAAAATTGGTACACGCTTAGCTATTGTAATGATGAGTTGATTAAAATTATTCCCATTCAAATCCGCTGCCTCGGATGCCCGCAAGAGCG